GTGTAGACACGTGTTCAAAGGCATATACACTTACAGGAACACAATGTGTGTATGTCCACATCTAGGAAGCAAGAACAGAATATGTGGATTTTCCTGGCATTTCACATGCTGAGGTGACCAAGAAATGGAGAACAGACAAATATTAAATGTTTCTCTCCAAGGTACACATTTTCTGAACCGAACATCAATTTAGTGACACTCGACTGATTAAGGAGTTGTAAAGATGTGAATTTATTTATGTAGAAAGCCTTGCAAAGTATTTGACTTCTAATCACAAGAAGCCATGCATTTATTTATTTGTAGAAAAATACATAAACATTTAGTCAAAAATATACACTATTCATCAATTGGTGAAGTATTTACCTATTTGAAATCCTGACCCTCGTGGGAAATCTGGAACCCACACTCACTAATCCACGCCAAGTCAGATTTACCACACCCACAAACTTGCAGAAAGCACCTCTCCTTTACTCTGGCAAATTGGGGTGGCTCCCCAAACCTTGCTGACCAGCTTTGCAGAAGTATACTTTTGAAGAAAACTTTCATCTTACTAAGTGAGTGAAAAATCGTGTTTAAATGTCAGCTACGAGACACTAGCCTACTCTGGCAATTCTAAAGAACACTTGTGTGCTCCCCATTCAAGCAGGACACAAAGGAAATTGAGTCATCAGCTTCTTGCTGTGCAAACCCCCAGAATTTCTCTCTGAGGCAGGAAAGATCCCCTTTGAGAACTACCCTGTGTCTAGTAGCATCTGTTCCTGCTTCAGCTCATTCTTTCACAAGAGCCACTTCCCCTTCAGGCTCTGGGTGGAGTCAGCCAAAATGGAGGTGCCGAGGAAACAGAGCTGCAGCCCCTGCCCCAGCCAGGACGGACTGCTGGGGAGGCCCGGCTCACCTCCCACCACCTCTGCTCTGTCAGGGGACCTCAGCCGGGAACCATCTGACTCTGCAGGCTGATCTGACACCTCGTTTGGGCGGCCACATGTCACCTAGAGCTCCACGTTGGCTTTCAGTTCAAGATCCTTCCCTTTTCTAGAGAACTTTGTCAGTCCACTGCCCAGGATCCTCAAGACTTTCCCTCACTGGGGCACATACAACCAACCCGCTAAACGCTGAGGGTTTCCTGTGAGCATGTGACAAGCGGGATTTCTGGTTAATGCCTTTAAATTGCTTGCACGGTCAGCATGAGTCTGGCAAAGCCTCTTCCTTAATTTTCAGGCAGAGGGCATTGCCCTAACTTGTCTCTTAGACGAGGAAAAGCCTCTCCCTTTTTTCCAAACCTGCAAATGAGAGCATGTCTAGAAGGGCAACTGGACCCTGATAAGGCAATTGACTTATTTTAGTAACAAATAACTGGGTTGGCATCTCTTGATAGCTGTGGCCAAGCCTGGGGAGAGACAGGCCAGGGCAGAGCGGATAAGGGCAGCCAAGAGTCCACAGCCTGCCAGGGGGAGAAAGAAGACATGCCAGGCTTCACATTAGCTGGCCACAAGGAACAGGGAGGGTGGGAGAATGACACACAATTTCCAAAGTCCTCCAGAGGCAAAGTAATGCATCAAAGGAGCACGGGCATTGGAGTCCAACATGGAGGGATGTTGGACCATGGAGGACCCCCAACTCCACCAGGCACTAGCTGTGTGTCCTTGGACAAGTTGTACCATCTCCCTGAGCCTCAATTTCCTTCTCTAGAAAATGGAGTTAAGAGAGTGCTAACCATGTAGAGGGCTATTGTGAGGCTTATATGTAAGAGAACCTGTACTATTCAGCCAGGGGGGCTGAATGTCCAGCACAGAGTCAGTGCTCAGTAGATGGTATTTCCCGGGGTCCTGGGACCGGGCTTTGCACAGGAGAATATGATGCAGTAGCAGAGGGCCAGGTTTTTAAAACTGAGGTGCTCCTAACTCTGAGGGATCCAGCAATGCTCCATGAGGTCCTGGGACCCCCAGGACAGTACAGAGACTCTGGAGCAGCAAGTTTGCTTCTGGTGAGAAATATATATTATTATTCTTATATTAAACTCAAACTGGGTATATTGTAGAGTAAAATACAAAATTGTAATGGGTGTTTCAGATCGTATTTAAGGAGTGAAACAAATATTGTCACACCAGTAGACCACACCCTCCCGCCCACTGCCTGGAGGTAGAGGTGGGGCTCCTGGCAGTCCTTGATGACGGGGGTGTTTCAGACACCAGTGTCTGTTACAGAGGAGAGCGTCTCCCCGAACTCAGTCTGGCAGAGGGGGAGTCGCTCCTCCATCTTTCAGGCTCTGTTTCCTCCTTGGGAAAAAGAAGGGTTTTTTCTGAATGATCCTGAGTCTATGACAATGAGTCAAGAGATATTTCTTGAATGAATGGAAGAAGATCTGTCATAAACTAAGAATTTCACGCTGCCCAGCATCCCCTCCTGCAGGGGGCAACTTGGAAGAAAATGGAATTTTCTGCCAAACTCAAACACACCTACTTGGCACAGCGCCTTCGCAGGAAGCAGAATGCAATGCGCATCTCGGGGGTAACTGAACTAACTGATGCCAACATCAAGGGTGACAGAGCTTTGCTTTCTTGCTTCTTCAGCTTGGAAAACACAGCCAAAGCTCTAACTCCCAGCAAGAGAGGTCTCTAATGCTCAGTGAGGGCAGAAGGGCGCACGCCACCCCCAAGCCCCGGAGCTCTCAGAGGCATCCCTGTTTCTCAACGCCAGGGGCGCAATTCCCTAGCAACAACGCTTGCTCACACGAGAGAGGAGGAGGAGGCGTGAGCAGGGAGGGCTCATCCCACCTGTCCTCCACACAGGGCCACTTTCCTGCTCCCGTATATGACACCTGTTTCAAGGCATCTGTCCTCCAACTCAGGGTTTCTGGGTCTGATGTTACTTAACTACATTCGCTTACTTCTCTACTTTTTGCTTTCTGATATGAAGATTGGGCCCTTTTTTCTTCCCCAAAGCCTTGCCCTTTTTCAAGGTTTCAGCATTGTCTTCCAGAGGGCCCCCCACCAAAGGGGCAAACACAGGGCCTTTCCCCCTGCCTCCTCCTGCTCCTCCCCCGTCCGCTGCCCAGCCCCAGCCGAGCCCGCTGCTAACTCATATCTTTTTTCCGAGCGTCAGTTCCGTGTCAACAGCCTTACAAGCACATGAAAGCCGGGGCCCAGGCAGTTACGGCTGCTGCACTTTTTTGTGCTTCCTCCAAATGATGCTGCCCAAAGGGACCCTGGAAACCTGGGACAGGAGGGAGCCTCCTGCTCTCTGGGAGGACGGCAAGGGTCAAGCAGTGCCCAATATTTGGGGGGTGAGGCCCTTTAAAAGAACCAGAGAGACAGGTGGAGGGAGTCAGGAGTCAGGATCCTCAGAAATAAAGCAGAGGACTTCACTAGAAGCTAAGAGACACACAACTTCCCTAGAGGCCACAGGGAAGCTGCCGGGCCCTCTTCTCCGAGGCCAGGCCAGTGTTCTCCCTGCCCTCAGCTTTCTCTCTGCTCCCCCATCCCCAGTATTTCTGCCTTCCAAGGCTGGTTGGAGTTCCAGTTGCCTTTGGAAGCCTCCCCTAAGGCCTCTGGTTCACTACGACCTCTCCTTCCCCAAAATCCCACCTGAGTTTGTCCGGGCCATACACAGTCGAACATATTCTGACTAAGCACAGGCGAATGGGCCTGGGTTCACATCCCCCACCAATGCTTCTGCTGTGTGAACAGTGGCAAGTCACTTGACCTCTCTGAGCCTCCGTTTGCTTCCCTCCTGTAGAACAGGGCTACTAAGAGGACACTTCTCACTGGGCCATTGTGAGGGTAAAATGAGGTAACACATGTCAAGAACTTAGCACAGCTTCTGGCATAGAGCAGGTGCGCGGTAAATGGTGGATGATGCAGTTATTCCTGTTACTATTATTCTTTCTGTTGCAGGAATCTGAATCCTAGAGCCCCACTTATCCTCAGTCTAAAGTACCCAGGTGGGACTGTCTTTTACTTTCCTGGGACCCCCAGAGTCGGGTTTAATAAATATTTGCTGAGTAGAATTAACCATAGGCTGAACTGTGTTAACGACCCAGCTGGCATTCCTTAAAAGAAAAATTAGTTTTGCCAGCAATAAGCAAATCGGCCATGTAATTATCTGAACACATATAGACAAAGAAGAGGGAGCTGGGAGCTCAGCCTTGCCGAACACCTCACACTCGGCCGCTGCTCCCACAGCCCCCCAGAGGCACAGACCCCGTTTGGGTGGCATATTGGCAGCCCCAGTTCCAGGGTCCCTGTGTGACCCTGGCACCCAGGCTCCCCTCCCTGCTCTGAGCGGCCAGGCAGGGACCACAACCCACATGGCCGCCTGGACTTCCCCTGACTGACTGGCAGAAGCAGGAGGCTACGGGGGTTGAGCAGCTGGCTCAGTCACTGCCTTTGCTACTCACACTGCCTGCCCCAGGCTGGCACCTCGTGGAGACCCAGAACCCTGCCACGGAGCTGGTCCAAGTTCCCACAGGCGCTAAGACAGGCAGCGACTGGAGCCAGCTCTAAGCGCTTTGGAGCTGGAACCGCAGGAAGCCAGGACTCCGTTCTGGAAAGCTTCCTGCCACCAGCTCTCACACATGCAACTGCGCCCAGCTCTACAGCCACCTTGCTGACTGCCCCCGCCCTGTTCCTGCCCTGCCCCGCCCGGCCGGGCGTCCAGCGCCCTTGGGCACCGGAGCCTGTTAGTCCAGACGGGGCCGCGCGCACCCAGAGGACAGTTACTTTCCGCCTTGTGCTCGGGCCCCAGGGACCTGCCCAGAGTGCGCGCCCGCAGCCTGCCCAGCAGACTTGCTTCTCTTTTTCTCTTTTCCTTTCAACAAAACTGCTTCCCACCAACAAACGCTCCAACAGCTTAGCGCAAATCCTAGCCCCGCTCTCCTTCGCCAAATCCGAGCCGCTCGCCGCGCACTTGACCCCGGTCCCCAGGGCCAGCTCGGCCTGCGCGGCCGCCGGGTCAGTCCCGGCCACTCCTGCCACTCCTCCCGCTGCCGGGCGGGCACTCACCGATCTGCGCCAGGCTCAGCGGCACGAGGCAGAGTCCCCAGGCTGCGCGCCACCAAAACTTGTCCATGGTGTGGGAGCGACGGCGAAGCCGAGCCAGTGGAGCTGGGGGTCCCGGGCGCTGGGCGGGGCCGGGGATCCGCGGGACGGGGCGAGGAGGGGGCCCGAACCTGTCGGAGGCTGGGGTCGGGCTGGGCAATGAGGGCGCCTCGGAAGTTGGGTGCAGTTTTTATTCGAGGCTGAAAGAGTGACATAAGAGGGAGGGAGCGAACGAAGGACACACCCAAGCGAGGGGCTGTGACTAAGCTGGAGACTGTTTAAAGACGTACCAGCCCTCCTCGGCGCCGCCCCCCGCCCCCGCCCCCTTCCCTCCCGAGACGCTCCATCCGGGGCGCCGGGAGGGCCGCGCGGTGCCCTGTGCCCGGGACGCACCGCTTTCTTCCCCCGCCGGCTCCCCGGGTCCGCTGGGAGGGCGGCCTCGGGACGGAGGAGACGACGAGTGAGTCCTGAAACCTCGCCCGGTTGGGTTCAGCCCCTGGCCTCTCCTCTCCACTAAGTTTCTCTTTGAATCCGGCTGCGGGAATGATTCTCTCTGGGGTCCGCAGGCAGCTGGATATTCTGGGAGAGGAGCGGGAACACCGGTGAGGTCCTGCGCTGGGTAGTGGTGGTTCCCCGCCCACAGTGGGGAGGAGAGGTGGGGGGCTTGTGATTCTTCGCAGGGGAGAGAAGAAGAGCTCATTCTTTTTCCCTTGAAAAAGAAGCCAAGTCCGCATGGCTCAGGTGGGTTTTTGCATCTTATCAGGACTTCTCAGAGAAAGCTAATGGTGGCCGGCCATGAGGCTGGTATTTGGCTCCGCTAACCCCTGTGTCATCCTCCAATCCCAGGCTGGCACCGGAATCCACCCAGCCGCTATTCATCCATCCACTCACCCACAATCTCACTCATCTTCCCAAACATCCTTCCATCCACCCCTTCTCCTATCTACCCATCTTTCCTTACATCCCTCCCCGGCTCACAAATCTGTCTATCCTCCGGGCCATCCATTTATCCAACCACACATCCTTTCATCTATCCATCCATCCACCCATCCATCCACATATTCTTCCAACTACACTCCCATATAACTTCTCATCCATCTTTCCATACATCCTTTTGTACATCTCTTCATAAAACCACATCCATCTATACACTATCCTCTTTCCACCCACCCACGTATCTGTTTGTCACTGTCCCCATCCATCATCCACATATCCATCGTTTTACACATCCAATCACCCACCCATCCATCCATCCATCCATTCTTTCTTGCTCCCGTTTATACTCCTATCTATGCAACCATTAATCTACTTTCCCCCATCTAGCCTACCTAGTAAATCTCAAAAAGGGGAGGGGATTGTCATATTCTTCAGGGGAGGCATTTTGAGTTTGAAAAATCATGTCTACCTATAAGATTTGAAAATCAGAAGCAGTATTTATTTCTCATGTGGACTACTGAAAGTAAATCTGAGCAGACTTCTTCTTCTGAGTGAGAGAGACAAGAAACGATAGTGGTTGTCCGTGACTGTGTGGCAAGACCCTAAGGGAGCCACGCCAGAATTTCTGAGGGCAAGAAATTCCCCTCTGACTTTGTTATTTATTGAAAGAAATTGAAAAATTGAGAGAAAGCACACCCAGCCATCCTTTCCTTCATTGAACAGCTGTGAGTACTCAAGGGTCTCAAGATAAATAGGACCTGCCCGGTCTTCAGGGGCCTCACGCTTTGATGGGGCATCAGACCCACTGCAGGCAGTGACTACACCACATGAAATGTGCTGCAAAACCCGTGTGTGCAGAGTGCTGCGGATCCTAGAGAAGAGAGTCGCACTGTTCCCTGGGGAACATCCAGGGGGCTCCACAGTGCAGGCGAGATTTGAACCAGGTCTTGAAGGAGGAGGAGGAATTCTTCAGAAGAAACGGCAGGGACCAGGCACCCACAGGCAGTACTCTGCAATGATTCACAGCACAGATTCAGGGGCCAGGTGCCTGCGTTCACACCTTGCTTTGACTGCTTACGACCCGTGTGACTTTGAACAGGCCAATGAGCCTTTCTGTGCCTCGGTTTTCTCGTCTAAACTGGGGTTAATAGCAGTAGCGATTTCATAGAATTGGTGAGGATTAAATGACTCAAAAGTCCTGCATATATTAAGCACTAGATATATGTGTATCTATGCATACAGTAAGCACTATTGTATAAATGTTTGCTATTGTTACTAGAAGCGAATTTGTGAGTGAGCATGGAAAGTTGAAAGCACATGCCTTGTTCAGGCAGTGGAGAGCAGTTTGGAATGAAGAGGCTGAGGGGGATAGCAAGACACGAGCCTAGAAAGGTAATGAGCCAGCCCTGATGGCATAGAGATTGAAAGTTCAACATGTTCCACTTCGGCAGCCCAGGTTCGGTTCCCAGGCATGGAACCACACCGCTCATCTGTCAGTAGGCACGCTGTGGTGGCAGCTCACATAGAAGAACCAGAAAAACTTACAATTATACACAACTATGTACTGGGGCTTTGGGGAGGAAAAAACAGAGAGAGAGGAAGATTGGCAACAGATGTTAGCTCAGGGAGAATCTTTCCCAGCAAAAAAGAAAAGAAAGGTAAGCCACTTCGTTAACTATACCAGGAGGTTTGAACTTGATCCTGAGGAAATAGGGAGCCAATGTAATATGTTTTTATTGTTGTTGTCACTGTTATTATTATTATTGTGCTAAAATGTACATAACATAAAATTTACCATTTTAACCCAGTGCCTTCACGTCGTGCAGCCATCACCACTGTCCTGGTCCATGCAGGCTGCTCATGACTCATTCACAGAACACCACAGTTCAGGAGGCTGGGAATTCCCAGATCAAGGTGCCAACACGGCTGGGTTCTGGTGAGAGCTCTTTTCCTGGTTTGCAGTTGGCTGTCTTCTCCTATCCCGTCAGGAGGGGAGCGGGGAGAGAGAGAGAGAGAGAGAGAGAGAGAGAGCGAGAGAGAGGAGCTCTCCTGTGTGTCTCTTCTCATAAAGGCATTAATCCCATTCGTGGGCTCCACCCTCCACCTAATTGCCTCCCTGAGCCGCGACCTCCTAATACCATCGCCCTGGGGGTTAGGATGTCAACATATGAATTTCAGGGGGAAATACACATTCAGCCAGCAACGACCACTGTCTAGCTGAATGTAGGTTTTTGAGTTGGGGACAGACTGCTTGACTATAGGCTGCTCCTCTTGCATTTTCAGGGAGAGTGTTTGGGGCTGAAAAATCTCTGGACCTACTCCCCAACACTCAGTGGCTGGCATTCCATGACCTAAGGGGTGGCCTGTCTGAAAGAAAGACAGTGCCCCAAGCCCTACTTTGAAAAATGCTGCCAGTAGTAGCAGAATTGGCCCTGCTGCTGTCTGTGACCAAGAGGAGACTTTCCTGAAACACCAGGGGCAAACTGGCCCCCAGATAGATCTTCAGGCTCTAACCACCGGAGAAAGCAACCCTGGTAAGTTCCATGGAAGGAGCACCTGACGAGGAGTGGCCTTGGACGTCTCATGCTACCTCCAGGGCTTTCGGCTTGCTTTGTTTGGAGAAGGGGAGTAAAGGGGGATAGGCACTCACTAGAAAGAATGTTTGTCTTGCTGTGTTTGGTGGAGTTTGAAGTCCCTTGGAGACCCCTTAGAAAAGACACAGAGGTCAAAGCAAAGGCTTACCCGGGAGCTGTGCCTTCCCCACCCCATCCCCATCCCAACCACAGGCGTTCCACCGGCATACATTAGACCACTGTGAGATTTCACTGCCACCAAGGATTTTACTTTTAAGAAAGATATAAAAACCAGTAGACTAGGTCATCTCAAACTCTGGTCCCTTCTGCATTTGTACAGTAAACGATCAGCAAATGAAGAAATGGGCTTGCAAATGCTCTGCAAATTATAGAGGGGCATGCAAATTCTAGGGGTTGTAACTAGGAGTATTCTCCCAGGGGAGAATATTCTGCCTGCCTGCTTCCCGACAGTTTAGTGAGGGACTGAGGTTGCTTGTCCCCGTGCCACAAATGACTCATTTCAAATAACTGACCTGGTGACTTACTGAGTCAGGGCCAACTTTCGGGAATTCCTGGATCACCTCTCTGAGCTAACCTTCTCATCCTATCCAGACCCCGCTGCCCATACCACACGTCTCGAAAAGACTTCCCCGTGCTCTTCTTCATGCCTCTGTAAGATTAAATCCTTAAAGAGTTGCTAACTTTTGACCCTCAATGTCTGTTGCATGTTGTACCAGATACCTTTCTAAGCCACACCATGGGATGTGGGAAACTGACAAAGAGAGCTTGGATTCATCTGGGTGACATGAGATCACACTGTCTGGAAAGAATCCAGGACACGAGCAGCAGCCTTCAACGGAGAGAGCCCAAGTCCAAGCACAGGCTCGCTTCCTCATCAGCCCGGTGGGTGACTTTACTCAAGTCGCTTACCCTCTGGGAGTTTCAGTTATGCTGTCACAAAATGAGGTTAGTCAGACCTTTTTCACAGTTTGTTATGAGTAGTAACTGAACAAAGGCATCAAGACCTTTTTACTGGGGTGGCTGCTTGATGGTGGGACTCAATGGCCCTCCAGCCTCTAAGCTACCTGAGGATAGGGACATATCTGTCTCAGGCCCCAATACATACTTAGCTCTCAGCGCCTGACAATTCCCTGTCTCTGGCATGTGTACCATGCTCAACGGACGAGCGTTACCTAAATGCATGAATGGCTGTGTTCTTTTTCCTCCAACACTCTACATAGGGTCACTCCAGGGATCACACGAGCCAATAGGTGGAAGCATTTAGACAACTTGACACTTTCCAGACAGAGGCAAGCAGCAGTGCCGTATCTGGGGGCCCACTTTCAGAGGATCCACTGGAGCCAGAGCGTGATTCAGTCTGGCAGACCAGAGATTATTTAATTTTTCTAATATATTGGGGCCTTCTGTCTTCTGACTAGTAATAAATCACGTTCTTCTTATGCAAAAAAAAGTCAAATCTAAACCAAATGTGAGCAAGAGTGTGTGGTGCAAGGCTGAGAACGTGGAACTGAATCATGAGATTTGAGGATTATAAACACAGCAGGCCACAGGGTTCTTTTCAAGGGACGACATTCAATTCCTTCGTGGGGCTGCTTCCCAGAGAAGGAGCAATCTGGCAAGGTAAAGAAAACGTGCCATTCCAGTTCAGTTTTAACCCTGAGAGAAATCCATTCTTGACGCACACTTGTGGTGTGAATTCTACATATGCAAATGAGCAATGGTGAAAAGGCTCTTGGGAAATAATTATTAGTGAAGTCTAAATAAACTGGTAATTTGGAAAGTAATCTTCATGATAAATAAACGACGTTCCATAACTAATTAGTTTTGAGCTAACCAAGTGTGATTACAGAGCTGAGCTTTTAGGGTTACTGAGGCTTTCAAATTTTGGCAAATAAAGTAGTTGGTGTGGCTGCTGCATCCTGAGAATGCCAAGGGGACAAGGCACCCCTGGATCCTAGATGTGACGGTGTCAGTTGACACAGTCCTCTGGAAGTGAAAATGGTATACTAAGAGACCCAAATTGCATAATTGGATGGTAACTAATTTAGAAATGTGATTTTTTGAAGATGAAATTTGAATTAATGGTGTGTGACTTTGTGTAGCAAGCTAATTGGAAGAAAGACAAGTCAAAGAGTATATTGTATGCACTATTACTTAAAAGAAATGTAACTGTATTCCTTTTATGTACATGTTATAACTAAAATTCTTATTTACTTATCTTTTTTGCACTTCATACAAATTGCTTAGTTAAATATTTATTGGAAGGCTCTAAGGGATCTGCATCAATAAACATTTAAGCATGATGTGTGTTGGTCATATCCATGGTTTGTATATAAATGGTGACAAATATCCTTGGGGTTGTCTGAAAATTGATTTTTCTCTTCATTCATTCACTGTATGACTACTATGGGTCGAGCAAAGTTTAAACATTCTTGATTCTGTCATGATTAATCATCACAGTTGTCACTACCCCCACCACCACCATCACCACCACTACTATGACCACCACCACCACCACCACCCCCACCATCCCCACCATCCCCACCCTCAGCACCCCCACCCCCACCACCACCATCACCACCACTACTATGACCACCACCACAACCACTATTATTGTCAACATTTCAGCTAGCCACCAGTACTTAGTACTTGCCAAACCTGACGTCATTTAATTGTTGCAACAACCCCATGAAAAGTTCATTCCTATTTTACAGATAAGGAAACCGAGGCTTAGGAAGGTTAGGTGACTTGTCCAAAGTCACATCTTCATTTTACTTAAAGGAAATCTTCCTTGCTGTTAAGAGATGTAGGAATAGAAAATTTTGATCTCTTCTTGATTCTTGATCTAGTAAAAATACTGTCAATGGAATCTTAATTAACTAGTTTTCCCTGAATTTTATTCCAGTCAGTTTCTTTTAAGAAGGGAGGTCTACTTTGGAAGCTTTTGTTGGAGTTGGGGAGGTGGAGAGGAGGTTGCTAAGGTAGAGAATGGAGAAAGTTGATGCTCATAGCTCACTGAAAACTTAGGCTCCTAGAATATGGTGACTTTAAATGCAGAGACTCAGACCTTGATTACTTACTAGAAAACTTTAGATTTGCATAGCACTGTGTCTTCCTTCCGTATAGTACCATTGTGAGAGAGCTGTATGTCCTGCCTAGAAATGAACACCATTCTCTGTTTATAGCCCCTGAGGGCTTATTCGGTGACTCTACTCCTTGCAAGACACTTTTGGGTTTGCTGGCCCAACTTGAAAGTTCTATAACTTGCAGAGTTCCTTCTCTGGATATTGCATCTAGATCCTCAAAGGTAACCCCCAGGTAGCCATTATTTTACTCTGTGACTGCTAACCCCTGTGCTCATGACTGATTGGACCCAGTGCTAGACGCCTGATGCAAGTAGGGCCAATCAGAGTCTTCGTTCTGGAAATCTCAGATTGGAGTGTGGCTAAACCTGTGAGACACAAAGGTGGAAGCTGTGGGGCAGCCATATACCTTCATGTGTGTGGAGAAACAGGAGAAGGAAGAATAAGGCAGAAGCTCAGAGAAAAGCAGAAAAGCTTGAGTTCTGACATTTTGCAGCTTCCTTGTTCTAGTCCATTCTTGACTCCTGACTGCATTCGTGCCCGGGACTTCTGTGATGCACCTGATGCCCTTTAATAAGCCCCTTTATTCTCCTTGTGTTAGCTCGAGCTGATTTCTATGGCAACTCGAAAGACTTGAACATAGGAGGGCATCACTCCATTTTACTCAAGAGTAAAGAGCGGCTCAAACGGAGGGGGGTGTGCCTGCTACTGGGGCTCGAATTCAGGACTCCTGACTCTAAATCTCAGTTCTGCTCATTCTAAGTTCCGTCCTGTGTTCTTTTCACTACCTGGCCTCACCTACAACTCCTCCCCCATATCATTCAATTATACAGAGAGAATGCAATGTTTCTCCTTCGCTCTTATCCACACTTGACATCCCTGGTGATTTGCCCACAGTTGCATGGCAATCCAAATGAGTGGCAGGTCTTCTGAGCCCTGTCTTCCCAGGCCTTCTCCAGAAAGCCCCTTTTTTGCCTGAACATGCCTCACAGCAAAACCTTTCAGCTGACAAATAGTAACAGCTGCTTCTCTTCAAAACACCCAAAGGGCAACACTTCTGGTTTCCAACATACAGGCATAATGCTCCAGCCAAGTCTGGATGGGGCTTAGTGTCAACTCCTGCAAAAAAGGGAATAGGTACTGAAATTGGACATGAGGCCGGGCCAAAGCACCGTTTATCGCTGGATACTGTTTTTCAGCCGTGGTAGACTGCTGCTTTAGAAGGCTCCTGTGGGTGAGAAAGAGGCTTGTGCTGAACTTAATTGGGAGAGGATGTGGTGAGGAAGGGGGAGGGAGAGAGAAAAGAAGAGACATCTTGAGAGAGCGTAGGAGAAGCGGAAGAAGGACAAAAGGCACAGGCATGACTCCACCATGATGTGGAGGGAAAAAAAGTCTTCTAACCATCGATCAGGAATTTAATAGACACCTACTGTATACACTACAAAAGCCAAAGATGAACTGGACCTGCCCTCTCTCCTCAAAGAGATCATGGCCTAGATCAGGGCTGGCAGATCAATTGCCTTTATTAGTTCCGGAAATACATAGTAAGCACCTCTGCGCACCAGGTACTACTCTAAGTACTAGAACGACCACAGCAAAAAAGACAGAGCAGTATTTTCTTATCATGGAGGAGGCGGGTGGAGGGTGCTGGGTAACTTCAGTGAGGTCAACAGGAGGATCTGTGTGAAGAGGGGACATTTAAGCCAAACTTGCAAAAATAGGAGAAAAGCTTTCGACAAAGGGCACAGCAAAAGTAAAGGCTTGAGAAGGGAATATTCTTGGTGTTCGGGGAACAGCATGGCTGCAGCAGAGTGAATGAGGACGTGCGTGGTAGGAAACGAGATTGTTGAGGAGGGGAAGGTCCCGCTCTTGTGTGGTCTTGCAGGCTGTGGAAAGAAGTTTAGGTTTGATGCTGATTGCACTGGAATGCTTTTGGTGGGTTTCTCTTCATCTTTCAACTCTGACTAATTAGTAGTGACTGCTTAGGCCACTGTGATGAGAAAGATTCTGAGGCCTTACAGTTCAGTGGGTGAGAGATCAGTGAGTGTTAATCATATATATCATGTCTCCAGAATGGGGCAATGGTGACACTAATGATCAGTACTTGCCATCTCGGCTCAGGACAGAATATTAAGTTGCATTAGTCAGGACAGTCTGGGTTATGCTGCAGTAACAACATCACCAAATCTCAATGGCTTAACACAATCACTCACTGGCTTCTCACCGTACTAAGTCTGCTGTGGGTCCAGACATTTCTTCAAGTCTTTCAGGCAGGAGCTCATTGATTCTGGGCATTTTGATTTTATGGCACCTCCCATTTTCACACAATCAGGGAAAGAGAACAGAAGAGGACCTCATACCAGTGGTTAAATGTCTTGACTCAGGAATAATACGTTGCATTTCTGCTCACAACCCATTGGCTAGAACTAGTCATTTGACCCTATCTGACTGCAAGAGGGCTGGGGGAGCCTAATTCTCCCGTGTGCCTCAAGGTAGAGGAGAAGCTAATGGAAGTGAGCAGTGAAAATCCAGCGCACATAAATCAACTTTGAAGAAAGTCCAGTAGCTCTCCAAAGCAGTTTGTCGAGAAGTGAATGAGGAGGAGTAAATGATAAAGGGGTTCAAAGAGTAGTGAGATGGACTGGTGGAGTTCAGAAAGGCTCTGTTGGAGGGATGCCTGAGTGCGATCTTGATGGGTAGAGTTTAGCAGATGGTCTTCCACCAGCTCAATCCTTCCAACCCCAAACCCATTAAACCCTTCCTTTCCCCTGGTCCATTCCCATCCACCATTCTGCAACGGGCTGTTGGCACTTACCTGGCTCTTCAGACTTCAAGAGCACTTACCTGGCTCCTCGTTTTGGAGGCAATATCATATGATACTGAAGAATATTATTTCTTTGCTGTGTAACCTTGGGCAATTTACTCAACCTCTTGAAGCCTAAGTTCCTCATTTAATGTTTAACATAATTATTGTGAAAATTGAAGTCTATAATGCAACAGTGTATCTATTTAGCTTGACATAGGGTTTGGAAGACATATGGTTTGGAAGACAGCAAGGTCCAAAAAATTGTAGTTACTATTACCTTTTTTAAGAGAAAGGCTTTATTGTTTCCTTAACAAAAAGCACAGAAAAAAGTAGTTCCAGGGTTGGTTCAGTAGCTCAATGATAGTGTCACACAAAATCTGTTCGTCCTTCTGTACCGCTCTTAGCACACCAGCTTCCATTCTCATGCTCTTTGCCTCATCTCACAAAATAGCTGCTGCAGATCCAGGCATTAAATCCTCACATGACAATGTCCAAAGCTGAAGAAAGGAAGTAGGCAGGAAGAAAAGGATCTTTCATCGTATGGTTTTCTCCTTTAATCAAAAAGAAAAATTATTTTCGGAAGTTCACTATCCCCCAGCCAACCTCCTCATGTCTTAAGTTCTAGGTATTCGTACCCAGATGTAGCTATTATTACTGTTGACACACACTTCCTTTAAATTCTACCCTCTCTGACGTATATGCCCTGGCCCATCTTTTATCCTACCTTTAGGATAGATTTCTGTTTTTTGATTTTGTGGTCTATTTTTAGCTAGTAACAAATTAACTCAACAATATACAATGGCTCAAACACATAGAAATTTATTTTGGGGGCCATCTAATACTCATAAGTGTTTCTGGGTAGATAGGATGGTGGGAAGGGATGAAGGGTTTGGGCTGATGGAAGCCCTGCAGTTCTCAACACATGACTTCCCAATTCACTGGGTTATTTCCACTTGGTTGCTATAAGGAACAAAAGCATGGAGGAGCACTGTTTGTGAGGTTTCATGAGTGAGGCCGGGTATGGGACCATCCCTTCCACTCACACTCCATCGGCTAGAAGCCAGTCATATAGCCACACCTAACTACAGGGAAGCTGGGAAATGTAGTCCAGCTGTGAGTCCAGGGGAAGGAGAATGTGGAGTTTAACAGGCTGTTGTCTTCGCCACACTTCTCTCTCCATTCCCGGCCCCTCCTCTGAGTCCTTTCCCCCATTCCTTCTCCTGGTGTAGATGTTCTGGTCTGTATCTGCTTGTTCACTTTTCCCTAGGCTTACATCAACTACGATGCCACACACAGTGACGAAAAAGGAGACACTGGCTGACCTGCACCCACTGAGCATGCCACACCTTCCAAAGTCCCTGTTCACTTTCCTCCTTCCTCCTGCACCTGAACACCGAGTAAGCCCAGCTGCACAGTTGGGAGAAGGTTTGGGCGAAAAGAAAGAGAATGTGGTGCCAGCATGGGTTTGATTCCAAGACCAATGATCCATGTAGTCCTACACTATAAACCTGTGCCTTTCTCTGCCAACTCACTGGGACCTTGTGAGACTGGTTTTTAACACAATTTATAAAATGCTTTGAGATCATTTCCCAAAATACCAATTTCAAGGGATATTAATATAAGGGTGCTCCTCAGTAAAAGGCTTTCAGAGACAAATGTGTTTGGGAAACACTAGATTAAATATAGGTTAACAAGTTTCCTTACTCCGGACCCTGTCCTTGTTTTTTCACCCGTCAACCATGTGTTGAGTGTTTGCTAGTAACAGGCCCGGTGCTGGGCCTGCAGGTCAGTGTGGCCCAGTCACGCAGTGCCTGTCCTCTGACAGCACATGACCCAGCACTAAGACACGTTTCCACGAGGGCCCATGGTGTGCAGCTTTTCCCCAAATTATCTGACCACAGACACCTCCCCTTTTTTAGAAATTTCTCAAAAAGTTAGTGCAAAACATAATTTTAAAATCCCCGAACTAGAGTATGCAAAATATTAATATTGACCAAATAAATAAAGTCTTATTTTCAACACATTGTTACAAATCCCAACAGAGTACAATTTCTCTCCAGGTGTATCTATGTATAGAAAAAGGACTGAAAGAATATGGGGTGGGATTATTGATGATTTTTTTCCCCAGATAAGTGAATGAAGGTTTAATGAAAGGATATGTATGGTACCAAAGGAAGATGGAAATCTTTTAAAAAAATTTTTTTTGATTATGGAAAATTTCACTCATAAATATATGCATGTGTGTGTATATATGTACATATATATATACAGGTAGAGAAAAAAGTATAATAAATTCCCATGTACCCCTTACCCACTTCAACAATTACCAGCTCTCATGGACCATTTTATCTATCTGCACCTCCTACTTCCTTCCTCACCACTGGATTATTTTGAAACAAATCCCAGACATCATGTCTTTTTATCTGTAAATAGTTCAATATGTACCTCTAAAAGATAAGGGCTCTTTAAAATAACATAACCACAATAATATTATTACAGTATTGGTGACTTAAAATTTTCACCATTAGAGGTTTGTATATGTATTATAAAATACATATATCACTTTTGAATCAAACAACAATCTTATTATAAAAACGTATCAAGATGCAGTAGACATAACCGGCGTATTCAGGTACACACGCACAGACACACACGAGTGGCTCTGACATCATCCCTCAGAAGATGCCCTGGTCCTGAGGGCAGTCCCACCACACGCTGGGTGGACCCGTTCTGCCTGCAGGAGTTGGGAAGCGGGTCCCGCCCATCCTCATCCCAGGCCCGGCCCCGTGTGAAATGCAGCTGAGGGGATCTGGCCCGGTCTTATACGTGCTGCTAGTAGCCCAGTCAGGTGGCCGGTGAAACGTGATGGGAGTGAGAGGGCAGCAGGAGGCAGAACCACCAGGTGACGTCCCTCAGACAAGGTCCTGTCAGCCCCTCTTATGCCAGCCAGCTGATGCCCCAGTGGCAACCATCAGAGCTTTCAAAGTCCGGTCGGTCACTGTAGGCTCTGGGTCAATGAGTTTAGAAGGTCACTCGTCACCAGCAAGTCTGGTCCACGGATGGTGGATGTGGGTAAAGCCATGAGAACTCTGAGCATTAGGAAAACCCAGAAAGAGAGAAGACATATGTGGCTTTTGGTCCCATTGGACCTAGTCTGGCCTAACGTTCTGTGGCCTGTAGTGCTTGGTTCTCAGAAGCAGCCACTGTCCCCCTTCCCAGTCCTGATGGGGCTGTGCCACGGAGGGTTGGCACTCTTCAAGTCATGGCTTGTGCAAAGATGGAAAACTTTCTTTATCCTGACCTAGCCTTGAGGGGCAGGGGGACCCCCAGGTCAGGGGGTCATGTATATCCAACAGTGGCACCCACATTGCCTCATCTCATGGAGAAACAGCCCCACGCCCAGTGACCAGTCCTGCCCCACACAACGTTCTATTCACGACGCGCCAGTGCTGGGCGTGGCTGGATGCTGTCCACAGGCTGCAGAGGAATGAGGAGAATCCTATCATTTTCTCAGGTATTTTTCATCTTTCCCACCCCGCATTCCTTCTGCCTTCTTTTAAGGTCTGTTCTCCTCCTGTCCTGTCTCCCTCTCTCTTTCGCCTGCCCTCCTCACATCCTCGTTGCTCAGCCTCCCCCATGGCCCTTCATTCCTATCTCTTGACGGGCTTTCCCTCCCAGCAGCCACATATACGCTCTTTCTTAGAGCTTCACTCTCTCTCCGACCTTGGATCTGCCCAGCGGCCACCTCCTCAGTCTGGGTTTGTCCCTTTCTCTTTCCCCTCCCACAGAATGCCAGCTCCTGGCGGCCTGATTCAGGCCGTTCATAGGCTTCCATTCTCATCACACGCAATCTGGAAACTCACCTCAGAGCAGAAGGATGGCTCTGCGGTGCCGCCCGCAGGACATCCCCGCTTCACACCTCTCCCTTCCCTCAGGAAAGCGTGACGGGCTTCTCTGATCACTTGCTGGAAAGAGAGAAAGCATAACGGAGTTACCCCACAGGGTGGGTATGGACGGCCCAGGAAGTGCTTCGCTGTTGCGGTGGTTATGGGGAGTCCCATCCCCACGGGGAGAGAAATGCAGGATGACGACAATACTGTTTCTGTTACACCCCAGGCACTGGCAGAAGGCTTCCTCGGGGCATCTCACTGAATTCTGTGTTGTAGGAGTGGCTATTGCCACTTACAGCTAAGAATCTCAGGATCAGAGAGGAGAAGTGGCTTGCCCCACAGTCACACAGCCGGGAAACAGTGGAGCCAGCGAGGGAAGCTGGTCTCATGCCAAAGCCCGTGCTCATTCCACTGTAATGAGGGCCTCTGCGGACTGAGGAAGCCGGCTAATTGCACTGTCTTTTTTTGTCTTAACCATCTGAGAAAATCTATCACCCAACACTTCAGCATTTGTTTCTCTCCTTCCTGCCCTTTACTCATTTGCATCTCGTTTCCTCTAGAAAAGCTTATGGTGTATACGTGCTCACCGCCACCCCAGTCCTGCCCGCGTCTCGTCTCGGTGGTGTCATCAGCACTCTGGGCAAGTTTGGGAAAACTTCCCCAACATGTTGGATCTTCAGGATTCAGGCTGTCTGGAGTCAGGGCGGAAGTCCCCCTTCCCCGTGCGATGCTCACAGGAACCTGCGCGCAGGGCCTCGCATCTGCTTCAAGCTGAAGGAGCCCCGGGACTGGCCAGGAGGGGAGTCCGCTGGCCACTGTCGGCAGGCGGAGTGCGGCCGAGCCACTCCGACTCCCCAGCTGGCCTGTGGGCCCCCTCCCCGCCGTGGGCTATGCCCTCAGCACCTCGCACAGCTTTTATTGACAAGGTAGAGCCTTGGCAGCGTTGAGAACACTACTGGTTAAAAAAAAACGTTCACCCAGATCCTGCTTGTTAGTAAAAGTTATTTCTGTTTTTGCATCTTTCCCTTCAGTTTTGAGCACACATGGGCAAATGTGCCTTGTCACGCTGTTGCCGTCGTGGAGCACACATCGTGTTCTCTTCTGCCTTGTCCGTTTAGCTTTGCCATCTACAGGGCTTCGTGTCCAGCGTAACGTCCAGAGTTCCCATCGTAGAGCAGGCCTGGGCTTCTACAGAACGTATTGGACCAGAACGTACTGAAATAGCTCCCTTCTCGTGTCCCTTCCATTTGCTCCTCTGGCCACAATTCCATAAAACATTCTAAGGGAAATTTTTATGCATGTAACTTTTTGTTTCTCTTGGATTGTTTCCTCAGAAAATGTATCAGGAATGGAGATGGTCATGAACGGTTCGACTGTAGCGTGGAGTCAGTACGAAGAGCGGAGTCGCAGGGAGCGGGTCAGAACCCAGGGGCGGCACCTGCTAGCTGTGTGACCTCGGGCAAACGACTTGACTCTGTAAGTCTCAGAGTCCTCAGATGTAAAACAAGGCTAATATCATCCTCAATCCACAGGGTTGTAGTGAGGCGTGCATACAAGGATTGAACAAAACAAAACAGCATAAATGCCATAGATCTTAGCCCTGAGGGGCGGCCCACTGACACTAACACCACTTCTCTGTCCCTTTAGACTAAGCGGACTCAACACCGTGTGGCTGAAACCCAGAATGTTTTCTAGGGGCAAATGCAGCGTGGTTTGCAGCAATCCAACAGGCAAACTATTTTAGAACTTTTTACTCCATGGACACCCTCACCCGCACCGCCTGCTCCCGTCACAAACCTGCCGTCCATCTGGAACAGAGACTGTAGGCCGGTCTCAGGCTTACCTGACCTCTTTAAAGCCTCTTTAAAGCCTTTGTGGGGCTCTGGCCCTCTTAATTTTGGAAACTACACTCCAAATCACATCAGGCACATTCACTCCCGCCATCCTGCAGGAAATATAATCATATAGGAGCAGCAGAATATATAAGAACAGTAAACTCGTAGATGAAATGTGAGGTTTTTGTATTAAATTAAATGCCTACTGATTTTGATTTTGTGGTCTGGGTTAAGGTTTAGGGGTCCAGCAGATCATGTTTTTACCTTCTTTCTTGAGTTCACAAAGAACTCACATAAGAAATATATTCAGAAGACAGATAGGTGGGGATCAAGATACCAACTTTATTGCTAGGAAAAGGCTGAAGAAAAGAACATCTTAAATATGTAGCCACAGGGAGCTTTCTAATACTGCCCCTGAAATGAAGCACCGCCCCCCACAAAAGCCCCTTCTGTTTTACCCCACTTGCCACAGAGTGGAGACACCTAGAGTGGACCCTCGCTGCAGGCCGGCATACCTGAAAGAGAGGAGAGGGAGGGACCAATGGAGAACATTTAGTTTCTTTCCAAACTCACTGTTAGAAAAGAGGGAGCAGAGGGCAGTTGGAGAGGCCAGGAGGATTCGTAGCTGCAGTTCCGCCACGTGGACCTCTCAGGCCAGGGAAGGACAGGTTTCTCTCTGGACCTGATGTTTGATCTCATGCTGACAAGATGGATGGGAGGACAGAGTCAGTCTCACCCTTTGGACGTTGTGTTCTCTCACAGCCATGGCTAGACCCACTCTCTCCTTCCTCCTCTCTGTCCTTCCCCAGAACGCCCAGCCAGTCCCTGTCCCTGGGACCAGTGTTGACCTACAACTGGCGCTCCCAGGACAAGGATACAGAGCGCCGACATTTATGGCTCTTGAATCATGTTCTGGCACTGCTTTTCTGTCAATTTATAATTCCATCCGCCATATAAGAAGATTATGTCGGTACCAAAAAGAAAACCAACATACAACAAACAAACAAAACAAAGGTCCCAACTCAAATTGGCCCGAGCAATAAGGAAATTTCTTATTTCCCATCACAAGAAGGGAAAATCCTAATGTGGTGTTATCAATGACTCAGGGATATTGAACCCAGGTTCTTCCTATCTGTCAACTGCTCCCTGGCTTCATCCTAAGATTGGTCCCTCTTGTGGGCCTGAGATAGATGCTGCAATTCCTACATCCCATCCAGCATCCACTTCATCCAAAAAAAAGAAAAGGGACCATGCTGTTGCTGTTTTCCCTTTTTAAAATGAAGAAACCTTTCCTAAAATCCCCTCCCTCTGCATTGGCCGCTACTAAACCAATCTCTAAGCAAGAGGATGGGACACTATTAATGTCTTAGACCAATACACGGAGTTGTGACTAGATAGGTGGATACCCTCACAAAACTGAGGCTCTGACTAAAGGAAATGGGGAGAACGGATGCAGGGTAGGCAGCCGGCCACGTGTGTTGTGCATCACTATGCATTCGTTTCAGTGGTTATGATTTTAAAGAAGCAGTTTCCTTCTATTTCTGTGTTCTCATCTCTGAACCTCAATTTCCTCATCTGCCTTCTGCACCTTGCAAGGCAGCTGTGATGATCAAGTGAGATAAGAATATAAATTACAAAGTGCTGTGTAAACCTTACATCTGACGAGCATAATGCTCAGAACATGAGCTTTTCCTCCCACCACTGAGATGTAACTCCTTCCAGACTTGAGCAACTGTTGGCAAAGTTGGGGTAGTCCCGGTAAGACCGGAAAGTGGAAACATCACATCACTAGGATAAGACCTCCAAATATAATGAAAAAATGTAAACAAAAATTAAAGCAGGAGCTGGCCCCATGGCCGAGTGGTTAAGTTCGCGTGCTCCACTTCAGCGGCCCAGGATTTCGCCGGTTCGGATCCTAGGCGTGGACATGGCACCGCTCGTCAGGCCACGTTGAGGTGGTGTCCCACATGCCACAACTAGAAGGACCTGCAACTAAGATATGCAACTATGTGCTGGGGGGATTAGGGCAGATAACGCAAAAAAAAAAAAAAAAAAAAAAATTGGCAACAGTTGTTAGCTCAGGTACCAATCTTTAAAAAAAATTAAAGCAGATTAAACCAGCAAACATACGAAACGATGCTCGATCTCACTCGTCATTAGAGAAATGCAAATCAAGAACACAGTGAAATGTCACCTCTCCCCCACTCGGATGACTACTCTCACCAGTGTTGACAAGGACGTGGAGACACCGCTACCTTGTGCACTGTTAGTGGAAAGGTCAAATGATGCAGCCATTATAGAAAACAGCATAGTGGTTCCTCAAACAATTCAAAATAGAATTACCATCTGGTCCAGCAATGCCACTTCTGGATGTGCGCCAGAGTTGGAAGCAGCCTCTTGAGCAGGTGTTTGCACATCCGTGTTCCAAGCAGCACTATTCACAATGGCTAAAAGGTGGAAGCCGCCCAAGTGTCCACTGAGGGATGAATGGATAAGCAAAATGTGGCGTAGACATACAATGGAACATTATTCAGCCTTAAAACGAAAGGAAAGCCAGGCTGGCCCAGTGGTGTAGTGGTTAAGTCTGCACGCTCCGCTTCAGTGGCCTAGGGTTCACCGGTTCAGATCCTGGGTGCAAACCTAGACACCACTCATCACGCCATGCTGTGGTGGTGTCCCACAAACAGAATGGGGGAAGATTGGCACAGATGTTAGCTGAGTGACAATCTTCCTCACCTAGGCAAAAAGAAAAAAACAAAAGAAAGGAAAGCTGACACTTGGTACAACATGAATGAACCTTGAGGACATTATGGTGAGTGAAACAAGCCAGTCATAAAAGGACAAACACTGCATGATTCCACTTATGTGCAGTATCTAGAGTAATCAAATTCACAGAAACAGAAAGCAGAATGGTGGTTGCCAGGGGCTAGGGAAGGGGAAAATGGGGAATTATTTAGTGGGTAAAGAGTTTAAGTTTTGCAAGATGGAAAAGTTCTGGAGATTGGTTTCACAACAACTTGAATCTAATTAATGCCACTGAACTGGACACTTAGAAATGGTTAAAATGGTAAAATTGATGTTACACATTTTTTTACCACAATAAAATTTTTTTAAAATTAAAGTTCAATAATATGCAGTGCTGCATAGTATGTAGAGAAATAGACACTTACCGCCCGCCCCAAACAGTTGATGAGACTTTAAATGGACTTATCTTTTGTGGATGATGGTTTGACCATATCCATCAAGATTAAAGGCAGAAGAGGGATGAGAGTCAGAGGAGCATTATCAGAAAGGAGGTCTGTGGAGCCTACAGAAGGGACCTCATCTAATAGGACCAGGCAGAACCCCAAGAACAGGAGCAGAGTCAGTGTCCAGAGACTGCCCAGCTTCTGCCCAGCAGGTACCATTTGCAGCCAACATTAGGAAACAGAGCAATCCATCCCTTACCAGTTGAGTGAACTTTCCAGTGTGGGGGGCCTCTATCAGCGGTACTTCTCCTGGCCACCAGGTCGAGGCCTCTTACCTGTCACTTGCTGATCATGTTGGTAAAACTGCCATCTACCTATGCCCTGAGATTTTGCTAAACCCTCTCTTTACCACCTATATCAGGCAGGGTTGGCTAATTATCAAACAACCTCAAATCTTAGTGGCTTAGCACAGTAGAACTTGCTTACTCTCTTATACGAGGGTCAATGCAGATGTTGCTGGTTGAGTAGCTCTCCTGGCAGTTCTCCTCCAGGCAGTTACTCAGCGATCCAGGTTTCTCCCATCTGGTAGCTTTGCCATGTCCTAAAACCCCCTCCGAGTCTTCCACTGGAGCCTCTGCATTCGGCCAGGCAGCAAGCCAAGAGAGAGCAGGGGAAATTGTGTGGACATCTAAGGGGCTAGGCTTGGAAGTGGCATATACCATTGCCACCCACATTCTACTGGCCAGAGCTGGTCACAGGGCAGCACTCAGATGCAAGAGGTCCAAGAAACGTAGTCTTCCTGTGTGATCGTAAAGGAGATGAGATAGCTGGTGAATACATACCAATGTGTCTGTCATCACCCATATGGACAAACCTCCTTAGAACAATCTAGAACACTTAAGCCCACAGAGGGAGCACTTAGATACCTAGAGGAACAGTGGTGACAAGTGAAACACCCCCACCCTGCCCAACCCCCGCCTTGGCTGGGCTCACAGAGACACATCTGAAGATATTCCTACCCCATCCCCAACTGCCACTTCTGTTTTATTTTATAATCATAGAAAAAATGAAGACGTCATTTCTACTTGGACAAAACCTACTTTCTTCCTCCTCCACCTGCCAGAATTTAATTAGTGAGACCACATTTCCCAACCATTAAAGAGAACCTCTCAAACCACTGCAGTGGCTACAGGAACTGAGAAACAGACCCCTCGCACCTGCTCAGCCCTCTCCAGGGAGGAACGCCCCCCAGCTCTGCCTATCCAACTTCTGCCAGGCCGCGGGGCACATCTCAAGACCAAGGAACCCTCTCCTCGCTTCTCAACCAACAGAGATCGTGTCCCTTTCTACCTTATGGAACAATGGTTATTTTTGTTTTCATCATTTGAGAGTTGGTTATCATTTGTACTGAGTTCCGCATCTTAATGTAACAAGTATCTACTAAGCATATCTGGTTCCAGACCGAGGGATTCAAAGGTGATCAAAGGGAAACACCCTCCATGGAATATGCAATCCAGGTGGGAACACGTGAGCACACCGTAAAGCTGAACGTTCTAGGCTGTCAGGCAGATACAAAGCATGGTAGAGATTCGGGAAGGGAGAGAGGCCTTTGGAATGAGAGGATGAGTTGGTGCTTTGGAATCCGGACTTTGAAGAGTGAAAAAGACCTTGACAAGCAGAGTCTGGGGAGAGCGCTCCAGGTGAAGACAAGAATGAGCAAAGGCACCGAGGTGGGAATGTGTGGGGAAATTTCAGAACAGGCAAGTTATTCTGTTGGCTGGCGACAAAGTGGGAAAGGTGGGTGTATCAGTTAGGGTTCTTTGAGCTGCAGGTTATGAAAGCATGTCTCAAACAGGCTTAGGCAATAAGGAAATGTATTCACACTCTGGAGATCCCGAGGCAGGGCCACTCGAAGAGCAGTTTGACCAGGGCTCCATGTCTGTTCCTCTGTTCTTCTGGTTCTCCTCCGCTCTGTGTTGACACTGCCCTCCTGGTGGCCATCCTTGTGGTTACAAGATGGCTGCCAGCTGCATCCAGGGCATAGGTTGTTCATGGTGAAAGGGAGAGAGAAAAAACAGTTCTCTTTCCCAGAAGCCCTGAGCGAACCTCTGCTCAGATCCTGTTGAGGCAAAATGGGGCTGCCCATTCCTGCACCAGCCAATGACAAGGGGATTACCACGAATGGTATCAAGTAATCGCCTGAGCAAAATGCAAGGTAGAGTCCATGACAATGACTCCTGCTGGGCTTGGGCTGGGTTGTGGAAAGTCATGAATCTCAGCCTGAAGAATCTGTATGTGGGGGCCAGCCCTGTGGAGTAGTGGTTAAGTTCACTATGCTCTGCTTTGGCGGTCCATGTTTGCGGGTTTGGATCCTGGGTGTGGACCTACACCACTAGTCAGCCATGCTGTCGCGGTGACCCACATAAAGTGGAGGAAGATTAGCACAGATGTTAGCTCAGGACTAATCTTCCTCAAGCAAAAAAAAGAGGAGGATTGGGGCCGGCCTGGTGGCACAGCAGTTAGGTTCACACGCTCTGCTTCAGCAGCCTGTGGTTCGCTGCTTCAGATCCCGGGCATGGACCTATCCACTGCTCATCAAGCCACGCTGTGGCAGGCATCCCCCATGTAAAATAGAGGAAGATGGGCACAGATCTTAGCTAAGGGCCAATCTTCTTCAGCAAAAAGAGGAGGATTGGCAGCAGATGTTAGTTCAGGGCTAATCTTCCTCAAAAAAAAAAAAAGAGGAGGAGGAGTGGCAACAGATGTTAGCTCAGAGCTAATCTTCCTCAGCAAAAGAAAAAAAAGAACCTGTGTGTGAAATAAGGCATGGGGAGCCATTGATGGTTTTTCAGCAGGGGAGTAAACAGAACTGAGTTCGGGGATGTTCTGATCAGAAATAACCAAGCAGAGGAGAGTGAGTGTGGAAGAACCATGTGTCCACTGCCATCATGTCTTCTCCTCCCAACATTAAAAATGGCTCCCAGGGAGCCAAGAGCATACGATGGAGAAAGGAGAGTCTCTTCAATAAATGTTGTTGGGAAAACTGGACAGCCACATGCAAAAGAATGAAAGTAGACCATTCCCTTACACCAAGCACAAAAATAAATTCAAAATGGATTAAAGACTTGAATGTAAGACCTGAAACCAGGAGACTTCTAGAAGAAACATAGGCAGTATGCTCTATGACATTGGTCTGAGCAGCATATTTTCAAGTCCCATGTCTGACCGGGCAGGGGAAACAAAAGAAAAAATGAACAAATGGGACTACATCAAACTAAAAAGCTTCTGCACAGCAAAGGAAACCATCAACAAAACGAAAAGACAACCTAACAATCGGGAGAAGATGTTTGCAAACCACATATCAGATAAGGGGTTAATATCCAAAATATACAAAGAACTCATACAGCTCAACAACAAAAAAACCAACAACCCAATTAGAAAATGGGCAAAAGATCTGAACTGAGATTTCTCCAAAGAAGAAATACAGATGGCCAACAGGCATATGAAAAGATGCTCAACATCATTAGCTATCAGGGAAATGCAAATCAAAACTACAGTGAGGTATCACCTCACTCTGGTCGGAATGGCTATAACTAACAAGACAGGAAACAACAAATGTTGGAGAGGGTGCGGAGAGAAGGGAACCCTTGTTCACTGCTGGTGGCAGTGCAAACTGGTGCAGCTACTATGGAAAGCAGTTTGGAGTATCCTCAGAAAATTAAGAATAGATCTACCATATGATCCAGCTATTCCACTGCTGGGTATTTATCCAAAGAACTTGAAAACACAAAGGCATAAAGATACTTGCACCCCTATGTTCATTGCGGCATTATACACAATAGCCAAGACTTGGAAGCAACCTAGGTGCCCATCAAGGGGCGAATGGATAAAGAAGATGTGGTATTTATACACGATGGACTACTACTCAGCCATAAGAAATGACGAAATCCAGCCATTTGTGACAACATGGATGGACCTTGAGGGTATTATGCTGAGTGAAATAAGTCAGAGGGAGAAGGTCAAATACCATATGATCTCACTCATAAGTAGAAGATAAAAACGACAAAAAAGAAAACCCACATAGCATTGGAGATTGGACTGGTGGTTACCATTGGGGAAGGGGGGAGGGGGGAGGGCAAAAGGGGTGATTAGGGTCACATGTGAGGGGATGCACTATAATTAGTGTTCGGGTGGTGAACATGATGTAATGTATCCAGAATTTGAAATATGATGTACATCTGGAAAAAATAAAAATTAAAAAAAAAAATGGCTCCCAGGAAAGGAGCTGATATACTCATTCACATCAGGCATAAATGACTGATAAGATATGATGCCAGTGGGAACGGAAAGGAGTGTTTTAATGAA